GAACAATTCCTATTCACATGACCAATCACTCCGCAAAGAAAACAGAATTGGGGAAGAGACTCAAACTTCACCTTGGCTTTGAAACACCCTTTCGATGGGTCTTCATGGGCAGCAGAAATCTCATCCAAAAGGGGAAGTTGAAGATCCAGAGTGATCTTCGTCCTGAAGTAAAGCCCCCAGAAGAAACTGAGCGGTGGATTGTGGCTGCCCCTGCAGGTCCCATAGCAGCCCCAAGCAAAGAACCAAGTCTCTCGGTGCAGCAGTAGAAGGGCACTCCACAAATTTGGGCGATGAGCGGTACTCTGATGAGATCAGCAGCCGTTGGTGTTTCCCATTTCCTAACCTGGATGAGGAACTTCTCAAACACCCAAGGCGTCCCAGCCAGAATCCGACGAGCAGTCGCCGAATCAGGGAGCACGAACTGAAGGAGATCCCATTCCACAACCGGCACCGTGAAATCACACTTCCAGACCCTCCCAATAATCGTCTGCAGCGTCGCTAGAGAAGGGAGCGGCCCACAAAGTCGACCAATCAGAGTTTGGTCAATCCGCTGGGCACCCGCTGCAACATCCGCATCATTGAACTGAATAGCCGCCATGGAAATGGATCGCAAGAATCGCAATTGGACTCGTACAGCAGGGGAAAAGAATTGCCAGGGAAGATGAGAAGTGAATTTCCAAACACAAGGCGCTGAGTACCCCCTTTTATCACGATTCCGGCGAGAAAGTACCGGAACCGGCGGGGGAGGATGGCGGAAACTTCTCGTTCCATCGGCGCACGAAGGCGAAAAGCCCACCCACTCGCCCAACGTGGGAGAGAGGGTGGAGGATTGCTTTGCTTTTTTTTTTTCTTCTAAAATTAGCCATAGATTGATTAGTTCCGGAAAGGTTTTATTTAATTAAAAAGAATATTATAAAAATTTCTAAAAATAGAAATACATCTTGAAAAATCCCCAAATAAAATTACAACGTTCTCCTAAATCTTCCTCAATTTCTAAAATTATTAAACCCAGGAATAAACACCCACAGAGACTCGAAACAATTAAAACCTCCAAAAATACGTTCTGGAAATTCCCAGCAGCTTTACTGACCACCCAAAATCTGTCACTAAAAGCCTGTAACGCCTATTGCTACAAATCCAGAATTGCACCCTCATGGAAAATTCCAAAATTAATCGACCTAACCCAAAGGGATCGAGTTCCCTTACCTATAAAACGTGCCTAGGACTAGGTTGGATGACCCGGGACGTTGATCTCCTCGATGATCGAACCCTCAAACGTCACCGCTATTAAAATACGAGATTCAGATTAGGCTATCGATAAATCGAGTTTAGAAATCGCGAAAGGTTCGTGATCCTTACCTAGAACGAAAGGGATGGGGTCGGGGTCGGGGTCGGGGTCGGGGTCAGTTGCGAGCGCCGCTTCTTCTTTCTTCCTCTTCGCTCGGCGCTCGTACTGCTGCTGCTTGGCGGCGTGGGTTTTTTTTGGGTGGGGAATTATGATGGGTGGGGAAAATAATTTGAGGGGAGAGGGGGGGATTAATTAGGGATGGGGGAGTGGAGGCGCTGGCCATTTTCGCCGCCCCCTCTGCTATTTTTTCCCCTTTTATAATATAATAATAATATTATAATAAAATTATATAATATTATTATTCTTAATCCGCGATTGTAACTCTTAGTACGTAACCGTCAATCTAACCGATCACGTATAAAGGTCGAACATAAACCTAAAGGTCGGGGTGTTACATGTTGAGGATCATATACCGAGACCTTAAGGCAAAGAACGTCTTAGACGAGAGTTAAAAATGTCATTTTCAATTTCCTTATCTCCGCATGCTGTAGTATTAGCATGCTTTTCCTGCTGCTCAAAGCACTTCAACAAGAAATATAAGTTTGGGGAAATGGTTTTGCATTGTGGGGAGAGCACCTTCACAATCCAGTATGTATTTTTCCTCTTTCCATTTTCTGTTCATATTGAGTCAAAACAAATTTGTTATTGCTCATTCGTAACAGAACCAACTACAAAGAATTAAATCATGCACATGTTCATTCTTATCATTGTTTGCCATGTTTATTCAAGGATGCTTTGGCCCCAATTTAATCTGCATCTTCATGAAACTCATATTTGTTTGTCCATTTAAAAAGGCATACCAGATCTCAACTTTGAATTGATTTTGTCCAAGTCATAAGATTTTCATTCAAATTAGACTAACCAAGATAATGTTTGGCGATACTAATTATAGGATGTACGATGTAGCTCTGTAATTGTATATTTCGTAAGGGGGAAAAACTACATATAAGATAATTATATCTTTAGTGCCACTTAGACTACTTTTATTTTGTGCTTCTAGGTTCATGGAATTCCCAAACTTTGCCATTGTATCCAGCTGCCACTGTGGATCAGACCTCTAATGGCCAAATGGTGTTGTGCAGTAGAAGTTGCATTTCAATTTTTTTTTTTTTTTTTTTTTTTTGCATTTGAACCCATGTTATGTGCTTATCTGGTTGACCCATGTAAGAGCACCAATTATGTTTTGTCAGCGTTCGAATGGCGCCTGCAGTTGAAACCTTATTCAACCTGCACATTATGTTTAGTTTGTGTCAGTAGTCTTCAATTATCTGAATCGTTGTGCTCTTGTAATATGAATGTTCTGACCTGTCTTTCTGTCCCAGCCCATTGAAAATGATGCATGTTTCTAATGTGTTGCTGCATTGTACTTATATCGTGTGGATGGCATGACACCTATCTTTCCTCAAACATGGAAAATTATTAGCCGACTGATGTGTCAGCAACACGTCTGCTTTAAATTTAGCATTAATAATCTGATCCTCATATTTTGATTAGTAGATTGAATGCCCACAAAAAACTACAACATCCTACATTGACCATAAACTAAACTGTCTTCCATTCATCATGATTCTGCAACTTAAGTCCCTGCGGCGTAGCAGCGGGCATTGTTTCTAGTCTACTATAATTAGCACCTACATTCGGTGGATGGTTGTGTTTAGGGGTGGCAGATCGGTTTCCGGTTAGCGGCTAACCGGCGGGTTTAACCGCTAACCGCCGGTTAGACACTAACCGAAAACCGGTCGGTTATGAGTCACGGTCGGTGTTCGGCAAGACTGAAGGGTTCTCCGGTTAGCCGAGTAACCGAAGGCGGTTAACCGAGGTTAACCGGCCGACTGACCGACAACCGAAAAATGTAAAAAAAAAGGATGAATAAGTGGTTAAAAGTAAACCGACCCCCAAACCCTAAATCGACCTTCTATTCCATTCCACCCTCACCTCCACAGACACCCTGCCTCCTTCGCTCCCCATCCTTCCACCGCCACCACAACTTCCTCTTGGCCATCGTTCCTGGTTCCGCCGGCGGGAGACGGATCGCCGTCGCGACGACGGAGACGACAACGGCGACGAAGAAGAACAACTTCGTCCGCCCTCTTCTGACTCCGAGCCGGCCATGCAAGAGGCAGAAGAAACTTGCTCCGCCCTCTTCTGATTCGCTTTAAGATTTTGAAATTTCCTCTTTTTCTTTTTTTTTCCCTCGATTTTTTCCTAATTTGGCCTTTGAATTGGATTTCTCTTCTTCAGGGGATATTACCGATGTAGCACATCCAAGGCTTGTATGGCCCGAAAACAGGTGGAGCGGAACAGATCCGACCCGGGAATGTTCATCGTCACCTACACGGCGGAGCACAGCCACCCGGCTCCCTCCCACCGCAACTCCCTCGCCGGAACCACCCGCCACAAGACTTCTCCGACCGACGAATCGGAGAAGCCCTGTTCCGACGTCAAGCCGACCAGTTCGTCTCCGACGACCCCCGCAGAGGACGACGATCAGCAGCAGCTCCTCCTCCAGGGCACGGCGGCGGCGGAGAGCAAGGAAGTGGATTTGGAGATGATCGAGGACGAGGAGGACAACGATGAGTCGGGGAACTGCGGAGGGTTCTCGCCGGATGCTCCGGACGACGATTTCTTCATGGGTTTTGAGGAGCTCACGAGTTTGGCTGCGGGGGATTGCTTTTCCGTGCCTTTCCCGACGGGGTTTGGGTTCCCTAGGCTCGCCACCGCCGGGAGTTTCTGAGACTTTGAGTGATGCGACTCGCGGCTCTGCTTTCCTGCAAATCTGTTTCCATGGAGAAAGAAGGTGAGAGAAAGAAGGTAAGAGAAGAAGAAGGAAGGAGAGAGGAGAGATATCTGGTGGAGGAAGGAAGGGGAGAGGAGGAGATAAGGTTCGATATTAGTGGTGCAGAATTTTTGGTTTCTTAATTTTTTTTTTTTTTTGAAAATGTATTTTTTTCGGTTGGCCGGCTAACCGAGCCTAAAACCGGAACCGACCGGTCGGTTGGCCGGCTAACCGTGACCTCTCTTCGGTCGGTGGTCGGCAGCTATAGAGGGTGGCTCGGTTTAACCGATAACCGGGTTTTCGGTTTTCGGTTAAACCGAAACCGACCGACTGCCACCCCTAGCTGTGTTGACTACACACCTGAGTATTATTTTGCAGTGAAGTTAGTTATGTAAGCGAAGGTAACGATATTGCATGTGTGGTCGTCTATCAAACGTCAACACACAAAACAACACCACAAGATCCAATTTAAGCCTTTAACTTGTGTGTTTTGATGCAGGAATGCAGCATAGTTAGAAACTAGTACGTAAAGTAGCTAGCTTGTGCAGCAGCATTTTTGAAACTGTGAAACGTGCCTTGTAGAGGGGTTAGGTCCGTTCCAATGTCTCCCCCAACAACCAGTCTTCAAGTATATTCAGTGAGTCAAATTTGCGACTTCCCAAAACAAAATCATGCATAATATAGTATCAGAACTTGGCTATATAGGCTGTAGCTCTCAGTAATGTCAACAGCCTCACCACCAACTACCATTCTGTATTTCTCTTTCGGTAGTGACAAGGAAGGGACGTTCGGCCGTTGCAGTTTCTATATCAACTCATATTAATGTTGTTTTCCTGGAACCAAGTAACCTTCAGCATTTGTCACCACTAACATAACATGACATCCCCTGAGTACGAGCCACTGCTCTCGAATCTCTACTCTAGCACCTCCAGCATCCCGCACTTATCTTCGGATGCCATCGAAGAGCTTCTTCTGCACCAGAGGCAACAAATCACATTCAGGTGGTGGTCTCGCCTCTTCGCTTGGGAGTCAAGGCTGCTCTGGCTCTTATCAGGTTCCTCCATCGTCGTCTCGGTATTCAACTACATGCTCAGCTTTGTGACCCTCATGTTCACTGGCCATCTGGGTGCCTTAGAGCTCGCTGGTGCCTCCATTGCCAGTGTCGGAATTCAAGGCCTTGCCTATGGCATTATGGTACACACTCTTTTAACACAGTCTCCTCCGTCTCTGCCTTCCTTTTTCTGACTTTTTTTTCCCAATTTGTTCAACTAATCAACCATTCAATCAATCAATCAATCAAATTTCAGCTTGGGATGGCGAGCGCAGTGCAGACAGTGTGCGGGCAAGCGTACGGAGCCAAGAGGTACTCAGCAATGGGGATAATATGCCAGAGGGCGGTCCTGCTGCACTTAGGAGCAGCAATCCTGCTCTCATTCCTCTACTGGTTCGCCGGCCCGGTCCTGCGGGCGATGGGCCAGTCGGACAGCATTTCGGAGCAAGGGCAGGTGTTCGCCAGGGGGCTCATCCCGCAGCTGTACGCATTTGCGGTGAGCTGCCCGCTGCAGAGGTTCCTGCAGGCGCAGAACATAGTGAACCCTCTGGCGTTCATGTCGGTGGGGGTTTTCTTGCTGCACACGCTGCTGACGTGGGTCGCCATCGATGTGGCTGGGTGGGGGCTCCTTGGTGCCGCCCTGACGCTGAGCTTCTCGTGGTGGGTGCTGGCGTTGTTGAATGCTGTGTACGTGGCTTTCAGCCCTCGCTGTAAGGAGACGTGGACGGGGTTGTCTGTCAGGGCTTTTACGGGGATATGGCCTTACTTGAGGCTCACGCTTGCTTCTGCTGTCATGCTTTGGTAGTAATGATGTCTATTATCTTCTTTGGTTTGTTGATTCTCTTCAGGCTGACTTAGCGATTGCTTTCAATGACAGCTTGGAGATATGGTACAGTCAAGGGTTAGTGCTAATATCAGGTCTTCTGTCCAACCCAACAGTCGCCTTAGACTCCATCTCCATTTGGTAAATATAAATGCCGACAATAATACACTCTTTTTTTCTTCCTTCCATCAAATGGGGATATACATAATGAGAAGAACCCTTTTTGCAGCATGAACTACTTGAACTGGGATATGCAGTTCATGCTGGGCCTAAGTGCAGCTGCAAGGTACCCGCTCCCTTTTCTCTGCCTCCTCTGTTTTTCTATTAAGTAGCCTTTTGAGGCTGAGCTGCACAAGGTAGCCTTCACTAATTAGAAGTCGAATTCTACACCCATCCGGTTTGTTGAAAGTGAGGGTTTAGGCCTAAAATTTATTGGGCTAAATTGATTAACACATGGATGGATGAGTTTACATCATTTAAATAGGTTCAAATAAGTCAAACTCAGCTACTAGGATAAATCGGTTGGACTTCAGTTATTTTTGTCCATTATCGGCAATGCTTTGGTGTCAAAACAACCAACGACCAGAGGCTACTGGTACGCTGCGGAGACTGATCCGGTCCAACAAAGTACATCAAGTGGTTCGAGCATTTGAGATGGGGTTGAACATGACTGAAATTGAATTGCCGAGTGCAGGAGCACAGCAACAGCCTCTTGTCATTGATTCGAGTCTAGACATAAATGAATATGGGTCCAATATCATTGAGCAGGACAGAGGTTCGAAGAAACGTCTCCTTGATGAGGTTGAAGGGGATATGGCGGATGTACCAACCCCCAAAAAGCAATTTGTGGAGGAGAAGGAGGGAACTGAAAAGGTGGAGGAAGCCAGCCTCGAGTGGCCCCACCCGATTAAATGAGGCTTCTGGCATGGAATGTGAGGGGTATTGGGTCATCCCTCACATTTCAGTCTGCTTCCAGTTTGGTCCATTCTAATAAACCGGACATCGTGTTTTTTTCGGAAACCCGATCAAGCCGGAGAGTAGTAACCCGCCGTATGCGGGGGTTAGGTTTCCTTTCCTCGTGTTGTTTCTTTGTTGATGCTGTTGATGCTTCCGGTGGCCTGGTTGTCGCTTGGTCCCCTGAAGTCAATGCATCGGTGTTTTATCATTCAAATTTTTGTATTGGTGTTCGCATTAATGAAATGAATTTTGCCTACGTGGTTTTCTTTGTTTATATCAGCTGTAATGTCAATGTTCGTACTTACCAGCTAAACCAGATTCAGGGTCTTTGCAATGGCATCCATCATCCCTACGTAATTATTGGTGACTTTAACACTACTCTCCATGAGAGTGAGAAAGATGGGGGGAATCAATGGAACGTGGGACAAGCCCTTGGACTGCGTAATCTTATACAGGATCTCGGTCTGTTTGACCCTGGGTATCAAGGGGACCCGTTTACGTGGACCAATAAAAGAATGGGGGCAGCCTGTATTCGTGAGAGACTGGATAGGGCCCTTTGCTCCCAGGCCTGGCAAGACCGATTCCCTGAAACTCTGGTTAAACACTTCACTGATCAGGGTTCTGATCATCGGGCCCTCTTATTATCAGACAAACCCTATGCTCGGCAGAGTCGCCCGCTTTTTCGGTTCGATGCCCGCTGGGCAGAGAATCCGGAGGTTAGGGCCATGGTTTCTTATGTCTGGCAAGAGGGGATTGATGGGACTCCTATGTTTCGTCTTTGGGAACGGCTCAAAAAGCTCCGTCATCTGCTATATGACTGGAGTAGAGCTGGGACCACGAATTCTCTTCGGAACATCCGCACGCTTCAAGGCGAAATTGAGCGAATAAAGAAAAGTCACCCAATTAATTGGGAGGAGGTTTGTGAACTGGAGATTGAATTAAATCGGCAATGGGAAGCTGAAGAGAGCTATTGGCAGCAGAAGTCTAGGGTCCACTGGCTAAAAAAGGGCGATAAAAACACCTCGTACTTCCACACAGTAACCAAAACTCGTCGGAAAAGGAACTTTGTAGCTAGGCTCCAAAATGAGAGTGGGGATTGGGTTACTGATGAGAAGGAAAAGGCAGAGGTCGCTTCGAGCTTTTATCGGCACCTCTTTTCTTCTGAAAACCAGGTCCCTAATATGAGGGAGCGTGTCTTTTCCCTACCCATTGATCAAAAGGTGACTCCTGCTATGAATGATGCCTTAACTATGGCGGTTCTGCCAGAGGAAGTGCGTAGAACTGTTTTTGCTATGGGATCGAAACAGGCACCGGGATCAGATGGGTTTACGGGCAAATTCTTCAAATCCTTTTGGGATATTGTGGGACCGTCAGTGATTGAAGCCGTCTGCTCGTTTTTCTCGACGGGGAAAATGCTGCGTAGTTTCAATCATACGTGGCTCACTCTAATCCCAAAGGTGGATAATGTGGAATCTATGAGACAATTACGACCTATTAGCCTATGCCAATTTGTGTACAAGATTATAACAAAAATTCTGGCGGAAAGACTGGCTGTGGTTTTACCTACGATTGTCTCGGCTGGTCAAAATGCTTTTATTCGAGAGCGACAGATTGTGGAAAATATCCTCATTGGACATGAAATTATGCACTACCTGAAAATCAAAAAGCGGGGGAAGAAAGGATACATGGCTCTAAAGGTTGACATGGAAAAGGCCTATGATAGAGTCGAATGGACTTTCCTCCTCACGGTTTTGGAAAAGATGGGGTTTAATTCTGTCTGGAGGGGCTGGATCCACGAGTGTCTTCGGTCTACATCTTTTTCGGTGATGATGAATGGTACTCCGTATGGCTATTTCACTCCAACGAGGGGATTGCGGCAAGGTGACCCCCTCTCACCCCTACTATTTGTGCTTTGCACAGAGGGATTTGCGGCTCTCCTCAAGAAGGCTATCTCGGACAAGAAACTGGCAGGGATCAAGGTGGCTCCTCGAGCTCCGAGGATCTCGCATTTATTCTTCGCGGATGACTCATATTTATTCCTGCGTGGATCGCTCCGAGAATGTGAGAATCTAATTGAAGTCTTAAATGAATATGAAGAGTTAAGTGGCCAAAGAGTGAACTTGGGAAAGTCTGCGGTGTGCTTCAGTCGCAATATCTTGGTATCGGATCAAGAATTCCTGGCAGCTGTTTTGGGAGTAGGAGCGGTTGGGGTGCACGATAAATATCTGGGACTACCTTCCCTTATAGCCAGATCAAAAATGGAAACCTTCCGATACTTAGAGGAGAAACTTTTGGAAAGATTGCAGGGGTGGAAAAGGAGAACTCTATCGTGGGCGGCTAAAGAGACCCTGATCAAGTCGGTAGCCATGGCGTTGCCCTTGCATGTGATGTCCTGTTTCAAGCTGCCTCTGGCTCTCTGTCGCCTTCTTGATAGGCATGTTGCCCGATTCTGGTGGGGTGATGATAATAATCATTCGAGAATCAGGTGGGTTGCTTGGCGGGACATGTGCAGGAGCAAACATGAGGGGGGAATGGGATTCCGACGGTTTGAGCAGTTTAACCAAGCCCTCTTGGCTAAGATTGGCTGGCAAATCCTCCAGGAGCCCCATTCTTTGCTTGCCCAAGTTTACAAAGGGAAATACTTACCGCAAGGGCATTTCCTTAATGCGAAGACTCGCTCGCGTCCTTCATGGGGCTGGCAGAGTGTTCTTCATGGGAGGGATCTCTTAGTGATGGGGCTTCGTTGGCAAATTGGGAATGGTTGTGCGGCTTCCATGTTGTACTCAACTTGGGTTCCCCAGAATCAGTTTGAGCCTATTCGTTATAACCCACTAATCTTGCCGGTGGGAGGGGATCCCCCAGTGTCGGAGCTTATTTGCCAAGGGGAGGGCCGCTGGTGTGACTCAAAATTGGAGCAATGGTTTGACCCTGCCACCTGTCGTAATATTAAAGCTATTCCCCTTCCGTGTGCGAATGTGGAGGATAGACTGATTTGGTTTGATACAGCGGATGGTGTTTTTTCGGTGAAATCTGCTTATCATCTGGTGGTCACACTGGATAAGAGAAGGGGGCGCTGGAGGGCGGGGGTAGATTGGATGGATCGTCAAAGCTGGATCCGCCTTTGGGGGGCTAATATTCAGCCGAAATTAAAGGTGTTTCTCTGGCAGATTTTCCGTCGAGTCCTGCCTACTACAGAGGCCTTACGGGAAAGAAAGGTGGGGGTTCATCCTCGTTGCCCGATATGCTGGGAGGAAGAGGAGACTATGGAGCACTTATTTTTGGATTGCCAGATAGCTAGAGCCCTTTGGGGTGCTGCGGGGCTAGAACATATCGGGGAAGGGTTGCCGCGGCACTCTTTTCCCCTGTTTCTGAAGAAGGTTATGAACCTCATCCAGAGTCCTGCGGTGTTCATGGCCATAGTAGCTGTCCTCTGGCGTATTTGGCGGTCGCGTAATTGGGTAGTGTTTGAAGGGAAGCAATTTACAGTGGAGGTGTTGATGCGCCAGTTTACTCAGCAGTATGAGGAATGGGTAAGCCTCCCGGTGGATAGGACTGCGACCCAGTACGCGGAGGAGGTGCATCCGTTGAACCAAGGTGAGGTGCCGGGGGTGATTTGTGGTTGGGATGGGGCGGTTCGGAGTGGTTCGCATTCTGCAGGAGGAGTGGTTCTAATGACTCTAACCCGGGATCTCATAATGGCTGCTGAGATCTGTTTCCCTGTCATTGATGATCCTCTGGTGGTTGAACTTCTGGTGTTACGGGCTGCGATTCGCTGGTGCATGGATCTGGGGCTCCCTTGTGTGCGTTTCGAGGGGGATGCCAAGGTTGTCATTGAGAAGATCCGGCTGAGGAATGTTAGCGATGGCAAAATTGGGGCAATCTTGGAGGAAGTGATGCATTATTTATCCTGCCATCAAGGGTTTTCTGTTCGGTTTATAGGTCGGCGTGCCAATAGGGTAGCCCATTTAGTGGCTCGTAAGGCCCTCTCTCTGTACCCGGCTATGTACCGTCACTTTGATTTTCAGACCTGACTGCTCTCCAGGATGTAACTATCTGTTTGATCTAATATATGATTACCTTTTGTCAAAAAAAAAAAAAAAAACAAAAAAAAAAACAACCAACGACATTGTTTGGTCAGTTACATCGCCGCAACTCTACCAACGTAGTGGTGCCAAGCAACAATGTTGCTTCATCGATAACAACGTTGCAGTGCGAATAACGTGTAAACCACAATAAACAATATCACAAGCATAGAGAAGCTTTTCCATATGGTTCCATGGAAAGCAACGGTAGCTGCAACAATGAAAAGATATCGCGGTGTGGAGCAAT